TGTATTTAACACTGATTCCTAGAATTAGAAGGAAATCTAGAGGTCTGTATTGTGGGTAATCAACAGGTAGTGAATACTTATGTATCAAGCCCTTTGCTGGTAGTTTTATATATTATGTGTTTGATGGAAAATGACAAATCTATAGAAAGTGCAGATTTAGCATGCTTAAAAATATCATCTAATGGGTTCAAGAATACTAATACTAATATTTTATATATTTTTAAAAATGCTTACTATGTACCAGGAACTATGCTAAGGGTTTTACACATATTAATTCAGTTAAGTTTTACAAAAACCCTATGAGGCAGATACTTTTCTTACCCTACTCAGCACAAGAACATTTCCTTGAATCAAAGGAATCAGACTTGCTTATCTCTTAGTTGTGACAGGTCTTAGCCTCCTGGTATTTGTAGTGACAGAGGAATTAGCAGGACTTGCTATATTAATGATCCAGGGGCAGAATGGAGAGGAAAAACTAACTATCGAAGGTGACTAAGATTGAAATCCCAGGACAGAGGAAAAAGGAAGTAAAGATGGAAAATAAAGACTGTCAAATGCTGAAAGTTCACCTACGAGAAATGGCAGAAAGGACTGTCGTCAGTGGAGATGGAGCCAGGAGGTAGAAATCTTGCACATAGCGGTGACGCCAGCAACCATGAGTCAAGGGTTAAGGATCGAACTTTTCGATACAGGGGAGGAGGAAGTAGCTAGTACACGTGCCAGAGAAGGCAAATGTGATGACCTGGGCAATGATCACATCACTCACTGGCTGAGCGTATGGTGTTCGCACCTCAGTGACCCTTCCATAAACAAAGACATTAACACCTAGCCTATAGGGTTGTTGTGAGGATCAGCTGTCATAATGTTTAATAAGTAATTTTGAATTGATGAAGTGCCATGGAATCCTTATTCTTTCATATCTCTTTTTACCCACTTAGTCAAAATTCTGCCTTTTACTTTTCATCCACTGTTTTGGGATCGAAATCCCCCAGCCCCAAGTGTATTATAAGTGACTACAAGGCAAGATCACATGTTGCAATACTGTTCAACTAACACACCCAATACTGAACACAATAACAAAGGCACATACTGCTTATAATATTTACCAAGTTCAATAGAAAAAAATATAAATATGGTTCAATAAAAACCCACATTTGAAACTTGATAAATTCAAGGATACATTTCTTGTTTTCAAATACTAAAGACTTCCTCAGAGATTTCCCATAAATAGCTACGGGGCAAACCCATTCCCAGGAAGTAAGTAAATAACATAGATGACGCATAACTGATTTTATTGCAAATATTTTGGACATTTGCAATATGCTAATGTTGACATTAAACTGACAGTCCTGCTCCATAATGTGTACCTTTTGGCTGTGACCTCCAGGGTCACGATATTTTGAGGTCTGGCAAAGGAAAATTACTCAGTGACAGAAAGAGCTGGAAAGCCTTCCCAAGCCAGGAGCTGCCCAGGGCTCAGTTTCATCCTAGCCCACAGTTTGGAGCTCTTAAAATAGGAATCCATTTTTAAGTGACATTTATCTGAGGAACATATAGGCTATAAAAAGCAAGTTGCACTAACACCAGCAATATAAAATATATGATTGCAAGATGTGCTGAGGCCATACCGTGTTCCAAGACTGTGCTGGAGGGAGAAAGTGCAAGGAGGTAGCCTTATTTAAAGGCAATTTGATGGAGGGCAGGTTATTCTAGGCAACTGTGGGGAAGTCTTAATTGATTTTAAGAGATTAATTCTAAAAACACAAAGATTCATGGACTTTCCTTGTTGGACAGAAATGTCTCAGAAATCCTAATTTCAGGATGGAGAAGATTTTTTTTTTGTTTTTTGTTTTAACATCTCTACTGGTCAAGAAAGCCACAAAACCTCTGTTACCTTTTTTTTTTTTTTGTACTTTTCAAAACTTTCTCTAGGGAACTTTTCTAAGGACTGCTTTTAATCCGGAAGTCATGTGATGTAGTTGAAGGAAATGGGTTTAGAAGTCTAAATATCTAGTTGTGTGGCCTCGGGAAAGTAAAAATGTTTGCAGTCTGGGACTCCCTCTCTGTGAGCGGGACTATCAGACGCCCCCGCACCTGCCACCTGGTGGCAGGCGCCACGCACCAGCTCTCCCCTTGCCTACTCGTTGTCGTTCAGTGCTGAGGTTCCTCAAATTCCCAGCCTCATCTTTCGTATCTTCTCATCCCACATAGGTTCCCAGAGTAAGTCCATTCATTCCTATGGTTTACATAGCATCTATCTTTTTTTTTTTTAATTCTCACCCAAGGGTATGTTTTTCTAAAAAGTTGATTTTAGAGAGAGAGAGAGAAACATCAATCAGTCGCCTCCCATACGAGCCTTGTGTGGGGATCGAACCTGCTTGGGACAAAGCTCTCAACTGAGCCACCCAGCCAGGGCATTCCATTGCTGAAAGGACTCACAAGACTCAAATCTTTATATTCACAGAGCAGGTTTATCATAGTAAAGGATAAAGCAGCAGCTGGAAGGGTATACAATGAGAGGGGTCCAGATATTTCCTGGGCCAGGTGGCTTCCTAGTCCTCCCACTGCTGGGCCGCACAAGATGCACTTTGTCTCCAGGTCCTGGACCACCACCAGCATCCATGGGAAGTCTCTCGGTATAAAAAAATCCAAAGTCTGCTATGCTAATAATGCGCTGCTATCATAGGCATAGTCCACCCATGTGATCAGCATGAACTGTTGAAACACCCCATGCTCCACTAAAACCAGGTTCTATTATTATTGAACTATTATAATTCAATTATTATTACCATACAATGTTGGTCAAAATAGGTCAGAGACCCGTGGTGATAAACATCATTTATCTTTAGTATATGTATTCCATTGCACTGGCAGTGGTCAATACGGCTGACAGCTGCCAAGTGTGCACATCTCGGACCTATGTCCTGGAAGTGTGCATATTCTGTGACCCAGTGAGTCCACCTCTAGGTATAGGCCCAAGAGAAATGAGTGTACTTCAAAGAAACTACACATCAAGAATGTTCATAGCAGCTTTATTAATAATATGCGGAAACTCAAAACAAGCCAAATGTCCATAAAGAGGACAGTTGATAAATAAATTGCTCTGTATTTACACCCTTGAATACTGAACAGCAATAACAAAGAGCAAAATACTTGTTCATAAGTTATGGGTGAGATGCACAATACCTCTATATTGTGAAAAAGAAGCCAGACATGAAAAAGCAAATGCAACATTTAACATTTATATGAAGCTCAAGAATGAGCAAAACGAATCTGTAATAATAAAAGTAAGAATAGTAGCTATTTCCATAAAGAGATTGTAGAGTAATATTTACTGGGAAGAGTCAGACAGGGATATTCTGAAATGAAAATCTTCTGTGTTTTGGAACAAGTGCTGGTTACGTAGCCTTAGATATGTGAAAAAATTTCATTGGGCACTTAAGATTTGTGCATTTTTCTGTATATAAATTATACTTCAACTTAAAAGGGGGTGGGATTGTTGTTTCATTTACTAACCTTCTACTGATTTTCCACCATCCCCACTGCATTCTCCACCCGTAAGTGTCCTGGGTTCAGTGACCGTCCCCTCTACTGTCCCATCCAAAGCACAACCACCCCCTACACTTCCATTCCTTTTATTACATCCTCATTGACAGAGTCATTCCAAAGGACAAGACTATACGTTTATCCAAAATTTCCTTTTTTTCTAATAGAAGAAAACTTTCCTAGCAAAAGTTTGTAAGTCAAAGTATCTCGCAAACAGTTCACATACCATTGCTTCTATCAATAAAAGAGCTGTGTTCAGACCAACAATTGTTCTAATACTTTGTACGGGGTCCAGCAGAAGTAACACCTGCTTGAGTGTGGTTGGTAGGATAATAATGTGGATGTAATAATTTATAGAATTAATCTGAACATTTCACCTAAAATCTCATATGGTGTGCTTGAGTGTGATGTTGCTATGTTATAGATTACATGCTTATGATTTTGTGATAAGAGATTTGTAATAAAAAAGGGGGCATTATTTGTGCCAGGCCCTGTATGAAGCTGTACCTCCATTTACCCAATACTGTGAATATACAACCTGTCCTGAGACCACCATCCCTCTCCTTAGTTTCTGCTATTAAAAGATCACAGCGATATGCAATGCCTTAAAATACAAGGGTGATGCCTCCCCCATAACCTGTTGGTGGTACTGCTCTATGGCTCCCTTCCACCCAAACCATCTATTACTCAGTTACATCATTTAAACCCTTGAAGTGAGGCTTCAAATTCTATTTTATTAGCCTGGAAAAAAAACCCTTTTAAATCTGCATCTCTCTCTGTTAAAGGTGCCTGGGTCCTTAGAGTTCTGCACACCATCTCAACAAGCACCACGCTTGAGTCTACATAAAACTTAATCCCTGCAAAATCTTCAAACCCTTAAAACATCATTTTGCCAAGACCAAATCGCTGCATTTTTCACCTCCAACATTCTTGCAAAACTGATGTTCCAAAAATTAACCCTTGAAAAATTTCATGACATCACTGTAAATACAATTAGGCTTTATTATGCAAAAATAAAAATAAAAGCTGTTGAAATGAAACTTACTATGGAAAAGATGGACCAAGAAAATGTGACCAAAGGAAAGCAGAGCTAAATGGACATGAATCTGAGGCGTAGATTCGAGGCCCAGGTCCGGCACAAGCTCTATGTGTGTTTGTGAGCAACGTGCACCATATTTGTCTCCAAGTGTAATGTGTCACGTGAGAAGCAGGATAAGATGATATACCTATTCAAGAGTAACACTATATAACTATATAACTGTGGAAACTATTGTCATAAGACAAAAAATGATTGCAATAGTTACAGGGGAGTAGGGAATAAAAGGGATTAGTATACTTGAGGACAAATTCAACATTTCCTCTATCTATAAGACAGCAAGTCCTGACATTTGGTTCCCTCATAGAAATACTCTGATAAAAAAAAAAAAGCTTTGGGTCTCTTTTCTGAGTCATTTTCAAAAAAAGATTTTTCTGCCCAACGATTTCTTCAGAGCAACTTTGACATCCTGGTTCCTCAGGCTGTAGATTAAGGGGTTCAGCATGGGCACCACAATGGTATAGAACAGAGAAGACACTTTCCCCTGGTCAAGGGGTAAGACAGAAGGTGGTTTGAGGTACATGAAAGCTCCAGACCCAAAGAAAAGAGAAACGGCAATTATGTGAGAACTGCAGGTACTGAAAGCTTTGGACCTGCCTTCCGTGGAGCTAATGCGGAACACGCTGGAAAGAATGAAGCCATAAGAGAGAGAAATGGCACCAATGGGCACCCCAATGCCAAAGGCCACAACAGCAAAGACCACCAGCAAATTCCTGTAAGAGCTATTGCAGGAGAGCTCAAGGAGGGGGAGGATGTCACACATGTAATGATTGACCAGGTTGTCTGCACAAAAGGTCAGAAAAACGATATTTCCTGTATGAGCCATAGCCCCCAAAAGCCCTACCCCATAGACACCCAGCAGAAGGAGTACACACACCTGAGGAGACATGGTGACCGTGTACAACAATGGTTTACAGATGGCAACATAGCGGTCATATGCCATCGCTGACAAGATAAAGGATTCAGAAAGGACCAAAAAACAGAAGAAAAAGAGCTGAGTCATACACCCTGTGTAGGAGATGATGTTCTTCTCTGAGACAAAACCCACAAGCATTTTGGGGACAATGGCAGAGGAGTAACTAAAGTCCACGAAGGACAAGTTGAAGAGGAAAAAGTACATGGGAATATGAAGGTGAGAGTTCAGCACAATCAGGGTGATCAAGCCCAGGTTCCCCGCCACGGTGACCACGTAGAAACCTAGAAACAGGAAGAAGAGGGGCACCTGGAGCCGCGGCTGGCCCGTTAAGCCAGCGAGGAGGAACTCTGCCACAGAGGAGGTGTTGCCCGCAGCCATCCTCCTCTGGGAGGGCCTGGAGGGAAAAAGAAAAGAATTGCTCACAGAGAGAGAGGAAAACCACCCATCCTGAGGATGGTGTTTGAACAGGGAGGTTGGGAACTCAAAGGCGATGGCTTCTCCTTGTACCCGCATCTCTGTCTTTCTGGACCCCACGTGCTTTGAACCATCCCGGTGGCTGTGTGTGGTGAACTTTGCCTGCAGAGCGAGGGCTCATCCAGCTGAAGAGAAAGCCCTCAAAGCTTAGCCGGGATGGCCCTGCGTCCTTGCGGTGGCCCTCCTCCGGCACTGCCTGCCCTCTGCAGCCCTGGGTCAAGTTTTGTATGACCTGGGCCGTTCTCTGGAGTGTTGTGGGGAGGGGGAAGCCAGCTGACCTGGCCCCAGACCTTCTGCCTTTGGTTAGTGCTGGTCAGGAAGGGAAGACGGGGCCGTGTCACTCGAAGCCTTTAGCTGGAATGGCTGTGGAATTGTCATGTGAAAATAATACTGCAGTAATGAGGTAAAGTTGGTAACTAAACTGAAGAGAAAAGAAACACTTACCGAGCACTAACTGTGCTAATGGCACTCTTCTACACGCTCTGGGGCATTTTGATCAAACCCTCTGAATAGGTGAGGACCCTGGGCACAAGTCCCATTCCTTCTGAGTGGCAGCAGAAGGGGAGCTCAGGCAGTCTGGCTCTGGGGTCGGAGCTGTGGACCCTAACTTCCCAGCTCGAGGGCAGGCCAGGTCCGGCAGGCACTCACCGTCCTTCTGCCTGCAGTCACAGTGCTGGATCTACTGGCTCCCAGCCACCTCTCTCATGGAGACTCGGGTGGCCCTGCTGACAAGAAGGTGACAACTCAGGGCTCAGACCGTGCTGCCTCTGCTTCTCTCCTTTAAAAGTCAAAGGCCCTAAGTTACCTAGGTTCTCCTGCTGAGCTGAGGAACATGGTCTCTCGTTGATTTTGTCCCGAGCCTCCTGTCCAGCTTCCAGGCACAGGACAGCACCTTTATAACGCCCGTGGGTAACAGGAGACTGAAGAGCCTCATTCTGGGTTAGAGACCGCCGTGACCTAGTTACAGGGGCTCCCTTAGGATCCCTGTTCCCTAAGGAAGAAGAAATGCTTGTTTATGTCCTTGATAATGTTTGAAGGCGATTTTAATGGCACATCCTTTCATTCAGGTTACAATTAAGAACAAAGCACTTGGGAAAAGAAGTTCTTGTTCTTGTACTGAGCACTTACTGTGTTCTGAACACTGTATCTGTCCAGCACCGTCATCTGAAAGACCCACAGCAACGCAATAACAATTTTACCGTGTTTATTCCTCAGAGCTACCTCAAAGGTTAGACCTTTTAGTCTCCGCTTTAAAAGTGAGGAGCACACGTAGCTGGTAGTTTCCAGAACCTTGAGTGAAACCCTTGTCTGTCCAACTCCAGACCCTTTAATGGTAATCACTGAGCTCCACTTATCCCTGTAAGTGACAGTGAAATCTTTGAGAAGCAGTTTTGCCTACAGGCATCTCGTAGGACCCTAGATAAAAACAAGTACTTAAATAACTTCAGTGCAGTGTCTTAAGTGTCAGAGCCAAGAAAGGTAAAATCTGGGATATTTGGACTTCAGAGGAGGAGATTCATTATTTCCATCACATTCAATACATACTGACAATTATTTGCAGCTTCTCCATTTAAAAAAATAACAAAAACAAAACTACTCTCTCTGATTCTTATCTACTACCTGATCATCCAGTATAAACTTGGTTACCTAAAACCAATATTTGTCACATGACTAATAACAACTCTTGTCAAGACGTAAATGTGGGGAACAGACTCTACAGCCATTATGCCCGATAGTGGGCAGCTGATAAAAGGCTTTGAACAAGTGGCATTCCTTGGACAAATACCCATTGAAGGTTCGCCCTGTCCCCAAAACCTTCTAAGCCCTGGTGATGCTTCCCTGAAAAAACTAAAACAAAAAAGTGTTTCTGTCCTCATGGAGCTTTCATTCAAGTGGGAGAAAGCACAGGAAGGAAACATGAAAGTGCAGTGAAGAGAAAGAAAGCTAGGGAGAGGGACAGCTGAAAAGGGAAGCGTCTCCGTTTCAGTTTCAATAGCAGAATCTGACAGTTGAGCAATGACTCGAGAGACCTGGAAAGCCTTTGCTCAGTAAGATCGGTTATGCCAGTGAAGCACTGGGTGTTCGTGGTTTTAATGCAGAAACTTTCCAAGGCATCGCGCTTTTGTCCTGCACTTTAAACACAGCACTCAACCCAAATCACCCTGCGGGGGAGGGAATTCTGACCTCATAACAGGAGAGGGGGCAAGAGACCTTGTAGAGGTTTGAGTCAACTGCCAGCCACAAAATGTAGGCTTTGTCTGAGCCTGATATATACACTACAAAATTTTAGGTGTCAGCCTGTATTCAACAGCCTTTGCTAGGGGCATTTATATAGTAAGGATGGCAGATTTCCTATTCAAAAAATAAGTCTCTATTTGGGGAAGTTCAAGAGATAGTTAGCAGGTGGGTTATGTGTGTTTTGGGTCAGAGTTAAGGCCTGAAGTTCTTTGGGAGCAATTAGCACATCAGAACACAAAGGCAGAACCCACCTTCCTCCAGGCAAGTGCAATGGAAACCACTGCACACGGGCCGTGTGGGGCTGAGCGCTGCCTGGGCAGCGTGAGGACTTGCCCTCTCCCAACTAAGGCTCAGCAGAGATGGCGCCTCATCTGTCTGTTTGCACTCACAATTGTCCACTGCCCAGATGACGCTCTTCATCCCAGTCCCTGTTCTTGATCCCACTGCACATATTGAAGAAATAGAGAAAAACAGTCCATTATCAAGAAATTAAAATTAGCACCACAAGTATCCTCTCCTAGGACCCAAGGTCAAAGAAGACCTTGGGGATTCACTAAAATGTTCACTTTCCTTTAGGAACCTCAGAGAGTTCTGTCTTTTTTTTTCTTTTCCTTATTCATTTTTAGAGAGAGGGGATGGGAGGGAGAAAGTGAGAGAGAGAAACATCAATGTGTTATTGCCTCTTGAGCACTACCAACTGGAGACTTAGCTGCAACCCAGGCCTGTGCCCTGACTTGGAATCGATCTTGCGACCCTTTGGCTCACAGGCTGGCATTCAATCCACTGAGCCACACCAGCCAGGGCCAGAAAGTTCTTGTAAGCATGCTGCAAAACCAGGGCAAATTCTTTTGAGAGCTTTGCCTCTTCAGAGATGGATTCCACGCGGATTTCTTTTCCAATGCTTCCCGGTTTTGTTTGAAGCGAACCAGGGCTTCTCTGAAGCAGTGTTCAGTGTTGACTTGCTCCTATACAAGCAGAGAGAAACAGAAGGAAATATTCTTAAGTTATTTTTTTGTTGGTCTTCTACCTCCTTGGTTAAATGTATTCCTAGGCACTTTATTTTTCTCGTTGCTCTAGTAAATAGGTTTTCCCCCTAGTTCTCTTTCTGATATTTCCTTGATGGTGTAGAAAAATGCCATCAATTTCTGAATATTAACTTTGTATTTTGCTTTTTTGCCAAATTCACTTATTAGGTCAAGTAGTTTTTGGGGCAGGACTATAGGGTTTTCTGTATACACTATCATGTCGTCTGCAAATGATGACATTTTACTTCCTCCTTTCTCATTTGAATGCCTGGATTTCTTTCTCTTGTGTGATTGCTGTGGCTAGAACTTCCAGGATTATTTTTAATAAGTGTGGTGAGAAAAGGCACCCTTGTCTTGTTCCTGATCTTACGGGGAAAGCTTTTAGTTTTTGCCCGTTGAGTATAACGTGGCTGTAGATTTCTCGTGTGTGGCTTTTTTTTTTTTTTTTTACGTTGATGTAGGCTCCCTCTATTCCCAGTTTGCTGAGTGCTGAGTGTTTTTATCATAAATGGGTGTTGGACTTTAGCAAAAGCTTTTTCAGCATCTACTGATATGATCATGTGATTTTTGTCCTTCATTCAGTTTATATGGTGCATTACATTTATTGGTTTGTGAATACTGTACCATACTTGCATGCTGAGATAAATCCCACTTGATCATGGTGTACAATCTTCTTAATGTGTCTCTGAATTCAGGTTACCAGTATGTCATTGAGGCTTTTAGCATCTATGTTCATCAACAATATTGGCCTGTAGTTTTCTTTCTTTGCTGTGTCTTTACTTGGTTATGGAATTAGGATGAAACTGGCCTTACAAAAAGAGTCTGGGAGTCTTCCCTCTTTTTGAATTTTTGGAATAGTTTGAGAAGGAGTTCTTCCTTAGATATTGGTAAAATTCACCTGTGAAGCCATCTGGTCCAGGGCTTTGGTGTGCTGGGAGTTTTTTGATTACTGATTCCATTTCACTCCTTGTTATCAGTCCGTCTACTCAGGCTATCTGCTTCTTCTTGATTCAGTTTTGGAAGATTGTATGTGTCTAGAAATTTGTCCATCTTGCCCACGTTGTCAACATTCTGGGCATATAGCTGTTCATAGTGTTTCTTACACTATGTTTTTCTTACTCTTTGTTTTTCTGTGGTATCGGTTGTAACTTCCCCTCTTTAGTTTCTGATTTTATTTATTTGGGTCCTCTCTCTCTTTTTTTGATGAGACCAGTTACAGGACTGTCAATTTTGTTTATCTTTTCCAGGAACCAGCTCCTGGATTTATGATCCTGTGAATTGTTCTTTTAATTTCCATGTCATTCAATTCTGCCCTATAATACACCAAATAACCTTGAGTATTTCCTTCGTCTACTCGCTCTGGCCTTTGTTTGTTGTTGTTCCTCTGGTTCTTGTAGATGTACAGTTAGGTTGTTGATTTGAGATTAACTAATTTTTCAATATGAAGTCCACCTTATGTCCCTAGGATCAAACTCCACTTTTTTTGGCATGTAAATTCACGAGGGATATTGGTATATATGTGTATATTTTCTAGTAATATTTTTGTCTGGTGTAGGTTATCAGAAGTACTACAATTTCCCCTGGAGAGCCAAGATTTCGGTCACTAATAATCATGTCACCAGACTTATCCCTAGAGCCAGCCAACCCATT